GAGATGAGCACACCCCAGTCTCTTCTTAGCGTCTCAACTCTTATTTGACAGTGGTCTCTCGTCATATATTCGACCTCATTTCGACTGCTGCATATGGTACAGAATATATTCAGTGTTCCTATAAATACACTGCATGAGCCCTTCGACGGTGCGGAGGTAAGCAACATACCTGGTATCTACTGTTGGGATCTCTTGTGAAAACGAGACACAAACAACTAGCCTGTTGTCGTCCACGCGTCCTTTTTATAACTATGACATGCCGAGGGAGAAGAGCTTCCGGCGTTGTCTTTAGAGGACGGTGATGGAAAGTACACTTCGATCTCTTTGCTTGCATATCGCCCCATCGAATGCCGGGCGCATTGATTTCACTCACGTGGACAACATCAGGTTGACTTGCGATCTCCTTCACGTTCTACTGCAGGCCAATATCTACATCGGGACCCGCTCTTGGTGGTCGGTAGACAGTCACAACTTCAACGGACTGAGAACTCTGTGTCTTTGCTGTCCACCAAATAGCCTCCGCATCGTCAGTACTATTCTCGGTCTTTTAATACATGGTAAAGTTGTTCGTTTAATACACGTCAGCGCCTCCGACCTGCAGCCCTATCTGTCGCATCTAAATAGCTGGTATCTTGGTAAAGCCATCTCACAACCGCCGTAGCTTTGTGATAATCGCGTTTCTGTTGTTTTCATAAAATCCGTCCGTAAATTGGCTACCTGTATTCTCAGTTCGACGAGCATCGAAAACAGACTCTGGGCATTCGCATACAAGTGCTTTAGTTTATAACATTCGGGAGTCTCAATCTTGCCACTACTGCGGTGCCGCTGCGTCATTGCCATTGTCTGGTTCCATTGCCACACCGTGGTTCTCCGTATTATTCGTCCCACGAGCATAGCCAGATTGCTCTGTCCATCAGCCAGTCTCCATTTCAATTCCGTCACTAATCCAGGATGCTTCAGACGTTCAGCTCAAGAGTCCATCTAAAAACATACTCGTTAAAGATGCAAAGGTCGGTTTTTCTAGACATTAGTAACGTAGCCTTCTCTTTGCTACCCAAAATTATTTTGGTATGCCTTAGTCGCACAATTTCCGACTGTTCATTAGCGTTTTCGCAAATCCCGGGGGCGACACGAACGGTTCTTTTCAATTTGAGGTAAAACGTATTGTTCAGCAGATTTTGGAGCATACTAACGTCTGTGGAAGTTCCTTTTTTCGACGTAGGACCATTGGACTCCGTCAAACACTGAGTAACTGAACAATTCCGACAGTCAATTGGTCCCATTGACCTTAAATTCCTGTTAGGAGGTCTACTGATCCCTTGAGAAATTATCCTATTCCACACTTTAGATTCCACCCGCTTCCCTTGTGGTTTGTGCGTTTTGAAGGTCAGATCATGTATCTGACACGTGCAGATGGGATCTTTAGCTATGTCAGCCACTGTACCCACCTCTGTCATCAGACAACTGACCGACGTTGCATGGCCAATCAAGTTATTAGCCCTTCCCAACATGGGTTTTTACTAGATCGCTCTTGTGAAACATGTCATCTGTCGTTTCTCAATCTACTTACCTCTCTTCGTAATGACCATCTATCTGTTGTCGTTATTTATTTTGATCTTAGTAAAGCCTTTGATAAAGTGCCACATAAAAGACTCTTCGTTAAATTAGAAGCTCTTGGAATTCGCAGTCCCCTAATAGACTTTATCAAGTCATACCTGTCTAATGGTAAACAAAAGGTTTTAGTGGGGTCATCACTTTCGAGTGAAAGCCGTATTATAGGCGGTGTCCCACAAGGCACGGTTTTAGGTCCTCTTTTGTTCCTGTTTTACATAATATCTCGATGGCAGTTAAACATTCTGAATAATTTATTTATGCCGATGATCTCAAATGTGTATATTCTTTTAATAAATCTACGAGCCTTCATTGCCTGCAGCAAATCCATGCTGACTTGCTTGCTCTCTCAGCTTGGAGCTCAAAATGGCTGATGGAATTCTCTCCGTCTAAATGTCGCTATATGTGTTTTGAACATGATAGGCTACCTCAACCAGTGGTCTTTCAAGGCACACCTATGACTGAATGTACAACCATCAAGGATTTAGGTTTAAGCTACACTCATAATCTTGTTCTCTCGCCGCACGCTGACAGAATTACAGCCAAAGCTGCCCAGAATTGTGGCATTATTTCTTACAATTTCTATCTTCCTGAAACTGAATTAAGACTATCATGTGTTTGTAAATCCCACTCGCGAGTATTGTTGCCCATTCTTTGGTTTGATGAACGAGGCTAGTCGTTTAAAAATTGAGAATATCCAAAGATATTTTACTAGAAAACTTTTAGGCAGGGGACATCCAAATATCCCCTACTCAGATAGATGCAAGCTAATAAACTTAAACTTTTTATGGGTTCGAAGACTGGTAGCAGGCTTCTGTCTCCTCTGTGGCATTAATAATAATTCAACTCTTCCTCGGATTTCCACATTTACCTCTAGTAGTCGCCAATACAATCATCGCAACTCTTCCCTAATGATACCTCCTCCCGCTTCCTCCACCTCTAAGCGCTCTCTTTTTTTCGCTTTCAGATATACCTTCCACTGGAATAACCTTCATTTAATATAAGTTCTTCAGATAATCTACACACATTTAAGAGAAGGCTACGCCTTTATCTGAATACTCACTGGATTAAACTTTTATTTTCCTTATCCTTCCTGGACAACATTCTCAATGACAATGAGAAAGGGCCACCGGGAATTTAGGACGCCGCCATTAAATTTCCGTTTCTGCTCACATTTCCTTCTTTTGTGAGTCGTATCGCTTCCTAGGATCCTTCATCAAAAGTGTTAATTTTTCGGTTTTTCAGTGCATCCATCGTGCCCTCACAGAATACGATCTATCGACGCTCTTGGTGGAACCTTCTGTATTTGCCATACACTAGTAGTCTGGTCCAATCTCCCTTGCCCCGTCCTCGCCTGGATTCGGCTGAATGCAACTGATCGCATCTGGGTTCCTATCGCCTCGAAACTGGTTCTCAATTCGCCACTTTGGCATGGGTGGCCTCATCCGGCATATGAATTCTCCCTTGATGATTCCCGACACGAACCTTTTATTCAAGTCTTCATACAGGCCAGTCCTGCCTGACCCGCCTACTTACGCCTCCATGAAATCCTTAATAAAATGCCATATACAGTCTGGTCCTGCCTGCGTTTTATATATTAAGGAGCGGAAGTTTTTTCTCCTATAGTTCTAATCCAATCATACTCATTTTTTATGTTAAGAGTTTTTTTTACTGCTAGCTCCAAATTTTCGTAACATACTACTTATTCACAAACTATGAATTAAGTACTGTAATAATTCTGTATGCCTCGTCTAAAATTCTAAAATTAATGTAAAATTATTGTTTCTTGCTACGATGGGACCCCCAAGGGTCTTGAATAAAAATTGTTATTATTATGATTATTATTATGTACTTTTGTCTGGGCGTAAGAATAGGGAGCGAATTAGATGGTCTCCGTGCATGTTCCCTACTATAAATAATCTAGCGCGCTTAAATCCATTGACGGGATATCTCTGTGGAAATTGATAAAACGACGGTCGAATTGCCATATAGTGAACTAGACAGCCTTTGTGTTAGATGCGAACTGTTCCTTTTTTCTAACATAAACAGCTCCTGTTTTACGCATATGAGCACTTCCCGTCTTTTGTGTCCTCTCCTATTCTTTCCATACAAGCGAAGTGCGGGTGGTGCCAGTTCGCGGCATTCACGTTTTCAGACAACTGCGTTTCTGTCAGGGAGAGGACTTCGGGCGAAAATCCAAGGGCGTGGACCTTCAGTTCATCGAAATTAGACGGTATACATATGTGTGTTAGTGTGCATAAATAGGGTTTTCATATTTTTAGGGCGCTTTGTTACAGAGTAGCCTAAGTTTCCATTTAGTGCGAAAGATGCGCCTTCAATCTAATTGGTTTCGTCCGACAGAACATGGGAAATTGATACGTTATTCGGCAGTTGTACTTGACCAGATGTTTCTCCTAAGTTTATAATCTCATTTTCAGTTCTTGAACTAATTGTTAGAGTTTCGATTTGCCTGTCAGTTCGAAATGCGATTGAAAAAGTCTCTGCCGTTAGTTTTCTTGCTTCCGAAACGTCGCGGGAGAACAAGTCTAACTTTCTCCTGTCTAGTTAGCACTATTTTAAGATGGCGGCGACTTCAACACTTTGGCATGTCGGCTGACAGCTTCCAAAGTCGAGATATGCTGAGCATTGCGACCTGCCTAGTGCTCTGTGGAAATTCGTCATGAAGACATAGGAAGAGTATTAGGTCTTTTGAGACTCTTTCTTTGCTAGTACTGTTCAATGTCTTCAATGCTGGAATTGTCTGAGGGACGGGTACTCGTGCTAGCCTCATTTGTACGATCAATGTCTCTTCGTTTCGAGGAATTTCAGCGTTGTTTGCACCAATATCCTCCGCAATTTTAACGCCTGGCCATGCAGACTGTTCGACCCAACTAACTCAAAGAAGTCAACGAGCACTAGAGGGCACTAACGCCTTCATATTATTGCTCGAAAGGTAGGGGCCACTGACGGAACGTATAAGCACAGAATGTCATGGAACAGCTGGGGGAAGGTAATGCTTTTGTTGACCAGAGTAGGAATGTCTCTCGTGGTTGTTTGTTAGGGTCATTTGTAGACCCATATTACAACCATGTTGGCCTGAATGGGGCTTCCTTGTAAATTGAACGACCGCCGTGGGTCAATCCGACGACAAAAAAGACCATGAAGAAGAAACAGAGACTGTGGAAAAAGCATTTGCAACTTCGAGATTTCAGTTTATTTCAGTTTATTTGATAAGGATGATAGGCAAAGCCTTTGAAAACCTATTGATTACATGTCAACTCGTTAGAAATAACTGTGCAGTAACAATGAAAATGTTCGCTATATACATAGTACTTGATTCATTTGAGTAGCATTGTCTCAGAGAAAAAATATGTGGGGAACCGGAGTGTTTAGCTCAGATTCAGACTGTCGAGGGAAAACAGGGGACACAAATAATCATCCAAGCGTTTCTTGAAGAGTTGCAGGGATGTCGCCTCCACGACTGACTGAGGGAGATCGTTCCATTTCTCCACTACCCTCTGCGTGAAAAATTCAGAACGAAGATTCAGCCTGGACATTGTTGTCCATAACTTCATCGAGTGACCACGAAGATTGGGTGAAAGGTGCCACTGAAACATGTCCTCAAAGTTAAGTCCATGCTCAAGGCCATTTATTATCTTGTAAACCAGGATTAGATCACCTCTTTTCTGCCTGTAACACAGAGGGGATAGATTAAGGCAATTCAGTCTGTCCGTGTAGGATTGGTTTTTTAGACCATTTACCATCTTTGTTGCCCTACGTTGCACCCGTTCGAGGCATGCTTTGTCCTTTACAAGCCATGGCCGCCATGCCTGTATGCCATATTCTAAGTGGGGCCGAACGAAGGTGCCGTAAACTCTCCCAAAATGGTCTTGGTCAAAGGTAACGAACGCCCTTTTGATTGCATGCAGCACTTCCATGGCGTTTTTTGCAGCCTTGTGGCACTGCAGTGTTGGTTTCAGGTTGTTCTGTATCCAAACCCCGAGATCCTTCTGTGAAGATTCTGCGGGGAGCCTTATATCTTTCAGATGATATGTCCTCAGGCTCTGATTTGAATGAGAGTTAGTTGGACGCAGATGGAGGACGGCACACTTCTGCACATTGAAGTCTAGAAGCCATTTCTCCGACCACGCTTGCAGTCGATGAAGATTGTTTTGGAGGGATCTCTGGTCGTTAGGACTCTTAATGAATTGCCAGAGCTTAACGTCGTCAGCAAACATTATTTTGCCACAGTCGAGTTCCTGAAGGCTGTCATTAACATAAAGGAGGAATAGCAATGGTCCCAGAACTGAGCCTTGAGGCACACCACTGGTCACGCTCACCCATTCTGACATATCATCACCGATGCAAACACGTTGTTTCCGACCAACCAGAAACGCCAATATCCAGTTCAGAAGATCTCCCCGGATGCCGATGGCGCTCAATTTGTGAAGACGGCGTTGGTGCGGGACAGTATCGAAGGCTTTGCGAAAATCGATGTACACGACATCAACTTCAAAACCCTCTTCTAGGGCCCTGGTCCAGATCTCCAGACAAGCTAGCAGATTTGAGAGGCAAGAACGTCCTCTCCGGAAGCCATGCTGGAAATCCTGCAAGAGGTTATTTTCTTCACAAAATTGCTGTATGGCACTCTTTACTAGAGCTTCCATCGTTTTGCACGAGAGGCAGGTTAGGCTAATAGGCCTGAAACAGCTTGCTGCCATCCTGCTACCGCCTTTATGTAAGGGAACGAGGTTAGCTGTCTTCCACTGTGATGGCAGCCTTCCTGTTCTCATTGACAGCTCAAAGAGCGTCGAAAGAGGCTTCGCCAGCTCCTTTGATAGCTCCTTAAGTATCAGACCAGGAATTCCGTCGGGTCCAGGAGACTTGTCTGGTTTTATTTGACTGAGGACGCGTCTTACTTCTCCGACGGAAAAGGCAACGGTTTCAATGACGGCAGTATCTTGGCGCATTTGAAAATCCTGGCTGTTTCTGTTCATTTCAAACTGCTGATCGTCTTCTGAGGACTCCTCCGTAAAAACCGATTAAAAAAACCCAGACAGTAACTGCACTTTCTGGGGCCCTTCGACTAGCAAGTTTCCGAGGCTATCCTTAAGACACGCAATTTCGTCCCTATGTTTCCTCCTACTACGGATGTACTTGTAAAACTTCTTGGGACATGTAATGGATTCTGCTACCAGTCGGCGCTCGAAAGAAGTTCTGGCAATCCGTATTTGTTTGCGGCATTTATTGCGCTGATCCTTATATTCGGCGAGTGATACTGGATCTCGAAGTTGCATATACTTTTTCCACAGCCTCTGTTTCTTCTTCATGGCCTTTTTTGTCGTCGAATTGACCCACGGCGGTCGCCCACATGGTCTTGTTATTTTTATGTGACAATGGGAGTCAATTAGACTCTCTATAATCCCGCGAAAGTACTGCCAGAATTCTTCAGAATCTTCGTTGTTGACTAACCAGGTTTCTTCCAAAAGAGCACGTCTCATTGCGTTAAAATCACCCTTCCAAATATTTCTGCGACTCTTGATTTTTGGTTGTTTGTTCGATAGGAGAGGGCACACGCATGTAAAAGCAATATGATCGCTTAAACCGAGGGGAGGTTGGGGATTCACTTCTCTTATGACTCCTTCTTCTTTACTAAAAACGAGATCTAAACAGTTAGATCGTTGTCCGTCTCTTAGTCTTGTTCCGAATTTTATGTGTTGAATGAGGTATTCATTCAAGGAGAGTTGTAGTAGCTTGTGGTCATATGACGTGAACGGGGCGTTTGCTAAGGGAACTTTCCAGTCTATTCCGGGAGCGTTAAAGTCACCCAGAAGTAATAAGTTCTCCTGCTTACATAACGACTCCAGTACACTAAGCAATTCCACATCGGCGATTTTATTCGAGCTGGGAGGCCGATAGACAACACACAGGTTAAGTGTCGGTAATCGTTTGATGCATATCTTGCATGAAATTATTTCAAAAGTTCTCGGCGCGTCATCGGTTATTTCTCGCTGACAGCAAGGAATTTCATTTGACACATAAATCTCTGTGCCTCCTCCTCTTCGTTGAAATCTGTCACAACGGAACAGTTGGTAGCCTTCAATACTGACTTCGCTACTACTTATCTCCTCAGACAACCATGTCTCTGTTAAGACAACTATGTGAGGCTTCTGTTCCGAGACTAGTAATCTGAGTTCATCTAGTTTGTTGAGGAGGCTCTGACAGTTAGTGTAATAGATTTCGAGACAACGACCACTGGTGCCCACAGCCTCAGGAGTTGGCACTTTTGCGTTGGTTAGGCTGTCAGAATGACGGCCATCGGCCAGAGAAATGTCCTCTTGACCTGAATTATTTGCCCGTTCTTGATCTCCAATAGCTTCAGAAAGCCATGTTTCTGTCAAGGCGATGATATCTGGCTTGTGCTCGTCGATCAGAGTCCTGGGTTCATTCATCTTGTTTAACAGGCTCTGCGCATTCGAGTACAGCACCTTTAGTGTCTGTCTTCTCGGAGGGTGCCGGCCCTGATTACAAATGGGGTTTGCCACAGGAACGATCGCTTGATCTGTATTATCTTGCCTTCCTTTATTTTCAAACCCTTCTCCCCCTCTTCTGTCCTTCTTTTCAGTTCTGTCCAGAGCTCCCTCATCTTGTGTCTTTCTGTCGGTTCGTAATCCGGCTGAAAAAACACCTCCTTATGCGAATGACGAAGAGCCATCCTCCCTTCTAGGAGATGTGAAGCCTGGGCTTCATTTGCAAGAATAATTTTAAGAGGCCTTGGTAGTCCACGCGACGCATCTGCGTTTCCTAGACGGAAAGCTTTATGCACGGTAACACATTCTCCGTCCTGAAGGACGGCATTCGAATATGTTTGGAAGAGGTTGAGATCGTGTTCGATTCTTTCTTTTGCAGTCGAAGAATTGGACTCAGGAGCTCCCTTTATGACGATATTACGTTTTCGGTAGAGATGCCTGTTTGGTAGAGAGCCCCTGTGTTTATTGTTACACGTGCGGTCAGTATTTCGCCAATTTCCGTCGTAATCATCGTTTGATTCAGAGACGGCTGTCATGGTATAGCTACCACAGGGTTCCTCACCCACCGAGTCTTCTTGGTCGTGCGATACATCCTTCGGCAGTGTGGTATTTGCTGGCATTGTGTGTGGACTCCGCTCACTCATACGGACAATCGGACCTGCTTTTTCTTTTCGGGACGCCCTGGGGCGCTTCTGCGTTTCCTGAGATCCCTCTCTGTCGTTTTTTTTCTTGCAGAAGAGGTCGGTTCTCAGTTGTGATTTCTTCCTTAGATGTGCTGTCTTCTTCCTTGGCGGCTGATCCAGTTAATGAGACTGTGCTTAAATATTTTCCGTTTGTTTTCTGAGGGTCTGACGTCGCCGGCTTTCTCTTTATGGGTGAATGGCGAGGAAGTTTCCTCAACTTCTCCATCTCTATTTTTAGGTCTTTTATCTCATTTTCCATCTCTAAGACTTTCTGGAGAAGGCTGAAACATGCCGCATGTTTGTTATCTTCGTTGTTGTAGTTGACATCCATTAAGGTTACTAAACTCCTGGCCCGTTTGGCAGGGGATTTGAGAGCGGGGAAGCCGACGTTACATTCATTTATACAATGTGCATTGTTTATTACATTATTATTTTTAGTCCGTCTGCTGCGCGTCAGTGGTCGATTGGTAGCGACGCCGGCCTCGTCACCTTCTTGACTGGGTTCGAATCCTGCTTGGGGCGCAATTTTTGTGCAACATCCCGAAGGCACTTGTTCGATTGCCATTTTTAAGTATATAAATTGGACAAATTTTTTAGGGTGTAGGAGGAGCTATCTAACCAGACCAACGATATGAAGCAAGTAACGAACAGTATGAAGCAAGCAGCAAGCGACTTATCCGTTCTGAGAAGGGGGGGTCCCGCGGTGCCGTTGGCAGAGAAGTTTTCCGAAAGAAAATGGCTGTCCCAGAGAAAGTCCTGTCGAAGTTCCGTGTGGATGGAGTAATTGTTGGTTACTATCCAATTTCGTAATCCAAATGGGTTTTCAGAGCGTCCAGTTGGCAGAAATCTCGGAAAAGGCAAATTCGTCGGAGGTCGAAAATTTCAAACCGAATTCGAAAGGCGCGCCGAATATAAGGATCAGCGCAATAAATGCCGCAAACAAATACGGGTTGCTAGAACTTCTTTCGAGCGCCGACTGATAGCAGAATCCATTACATGTCCCAAGAAGTTTTACGGGTACATCCGCAGTAGGAGGAAACATAGGGACGAAATTGCGTGTCTTAAGGATAGCCTCGGAAACTTATTTGTTGAAGGGTCACAGAAAGTGCGATTACTGTCTCAGTTTTTTCAATCGGTTTTTACGGAGGAGTCCTTAGAAGGCGATCAGCAGTTTGAAATGGACCGAGACAGCCAAGAGCTTCAAATGCGCGAGATATTGCCGTCATTGAAACCGTCGCCTTTTCCGTCGAAGAAGTCAGACGCGTCCTCAGTCAAATAAAACCTGATAAGTCTCCTGGACCCGACGTAATTCCCGGGCTGATACTTAAGGAGCTATCAACGGAGCTGTCAAAGCCTCCTTCGACTCTCTTTGAGCTGTCAATGAGAACAGGAAGGCTGCCATCACAGTGGAAGACAGCTAACCTCGTTCCATTGCATAAGAGAGGTAGCAGGATGACAGCATCAGCTTTAGGCCTATCAGCTTAACTTGCCTCCCTTGCAAAACGATGGAGGTTATAGTAAAGAGCGCTATAGAGCAGTTTTGTGAAGAAAATAACATCTGGCATGATTTTCAACATGGCTTCCGGAGAGGACGTTCTTGCCTCTCAAATCTGCTAGCTTGTCTGGAGATCTGGACCAGGGCTCTAGAAGAGGGTTTTGAGGTCGATGTCGTATACATCGATTTCCGCAAATTGAGCGACATCGCCATCCGGGGAGATCTTCTGAACTGGATTAGGGCGTTTCTGGTTGGTCGGAAACCACGTGTCTGTATCGGGGATGATATGTCAGAATGGGTAAACGTGACCAGTGGTGTGCCTCAAGGCTCAGTTCTGGGACCATTGCTATTCCTCCTTTACGTTAACGACAGTCTTCAGGAACTCGACTGCGGCAAAATAATGTTTGCAGACGATGATATGCTCTGGCAAGTCATTAAGGGACCGAATGATCAGAGATCCCTCCAAAACAATCTTCATCGACTGCAAGCGTGGTCGAAGAAATGGCTTCTAGATTTCAATGTGGAGAAGTGTGCCGTCCTTCATCTGCGTCCAACCAACTCTCATTCAAATGAGAGCCTGAGGACATATCACCTGAAAGATATAAGGCTCCCTGCAGAATCTTCACAGAAGGATCTCGGGGTTTGGATACAGAACAACCTGAAACCAACACTGCAGTGCCACAAGGCTGCAAAAAACGCCATGGAAGTGCTGCATGCAATCAAAAGGGCTTTCGTTAACTTTGACCAAGACCATTTTGGGAGAGTTTACGGCACCTTCGTTCGGCCCCACTTAGAATATGGCATACAGGCATGGCGGCCATGGCTTGTAAAGGACAAAGCATGCCTCGAACGGGTACAACGGCGTGCAACAAAGCTAGTACACGGTCTAAAAAACCAATCCTACACAGACAGACTGAATTGCCTTAATTTATTCCCTCTGTGTTACAGGCAGCAAAGAGGTGATCTTATCCTCGTCAACAAGATAATACATGGCCTTGAGCATGGACTTAACTTTGAGGACATGTTTCAGTGGCACCTTTCACCCAATCTTCGTGGTCACTCGATGAAGTTATGGACAACAATGTCCAGGCTGAATCTTCGTTCTGAATTTTTCACGCAGAGGGTAGTGGAGAAATGGAACGATCTCCCTCAGTCATCGTGGAGGCGACGTCTCTGCAACTATTGAAGTAACGCTTGGACGATTATTTGTGTCCCCTGTTTTCCTTTGACAGTCTGAATCTGAACTGAGACCCCACGTCCCC